TAATAAACCAGGTAATGGCAGGTGCAGAAAACAGCAGCATCCAAAATACATTGTATTGTCCAAAATACGTCAAGAACTCACCCAAATGAGCAAATTCCATGAGATTCCACGTTTTATACTGGATTCCATGTTAATTCTGTGATTCTAACTGCAGTTTCCGCATTGTGGAAAGCAGCCCTACATATCTCAGTCCTATTTTTATTTTTTAAACACCTGAGAAATTTTTCCACGTACCTCCTATAATATGGTCACATACCCCTGGTTGTGAATCATTGGTCTAAGTGCTAACAGATCACTTAACTGTGAAAAGCATTGTGTTTACCAAAATGGCTTCACACCTCTTCCTAAGATGATCTTAGTTTTAAACTCTGTCATAAAAGGCAATAAGCAAATCAAGGTTTTATTTGTTAAATGAAGAAGTTTTTTATTGAAGAGTAGTCTGGGCTTGTAAAAAAAAAATCAAAAGCAAGAATTTTACTGCAGCCAAATTTTTGTCAGCGGTGTCATTTTCATCCGAAAATTTGTGACTCTCTGCCCACAGACTGCACCGCCGAAGATCAGCTTTAGGTTTCAGCTAAGTTAGATTTACGAAAATACAAATTGCTTACCGGCTTATTGCCTCCACAGAGTTTGGTGTTTGAACAGGTGCAGATGAAAGGGCCACGCAGGTGATGGAGCTGTGTGCAGAGGAATGACCATCCTGTGACTCACCTGAGCTGCGGCCAGCTGCCTCCTGATCAAAGCCACTTCCACTCGCCTCTTCGCCGGTGACAACAGACACACACACACACACACACACACCGCTGGATGTTTTCACCAGATGAGACGTCAGCGAGACGTGTTGTTGGGGTGATACGTTTCTCTGGATTAATTGACACACCTGGCTTTAATTCACACAGACAGTGTTGATCGTCTCATCAGAGATCCATCAGCGCTAAGCTGCAGCTGTCTCACTCAGAACCAAAAAAAATAAAGTGTTAATAATCTTCCTGTCTTGACTGTTAATGTGCTGATGTGCATGCTTCAGTCTGACGTGGAAAAATCCTTGAAATGTTCAAGAATTCTTTCCTTTGAATCAAAACTTTATTAGGAGAGGATGGGTGGAATGGAAATATTTAACTGAGGGGTTGTCGTCGATTTGAATTTTGTGTTGAAGTTTTATTTTGTTTCCAGAATGCACCAAAGTTGGAGTGAATAAGCTAAAACTTGTAAAGAAAGTCCCATAGAGATAAATCAACCACGTAAAGCAACCACCAAGTTATTAGGAACTGAAAACAGATAAACATGTTTGACTTGGGARCTGTTTTTCGGGGTCTGTTGCCCTTTTGTTTATTTTCACGCGACAGAACCGAGCAACTGTTTTCACCTCATCTGTTGCATCGGTTTGTTTCTGTGATGCTTGTCGACTTTGAAACTGGTCAGGCTGTCGAAAGACTTCCTCCGCGGGGATTCGGAGGCCTAAAAGTGTTGCAACTTGTCTTCGGTTTGAAATCTGGGCACACGTCCGATGGAGCCTCGTGACYAATTCGGTTATGGCGATGATGCAACACTGCTGTACAAATATTCGGATGAATTTTCTCTGCATTCCCATAAARCAGGTTCTGCTGTGTGTTTGGATGTGTTTGGACCAGGTAGGAGGAGGGAACTAAGGTGAGACCACCTCCTACTTAAGCATTGACTTCACTTTTCAGGCGACACCTTCTACCTGTTCTTAGTGCCTCAGAAACATACAGCAGCTCCACGAGTTGAGAGGTCACTGCTTCTTTTGTCTACATTGCTACCTGGGATGATAGGATGCATTTTGCTGCCCTAAAACCATCCTTTTAGACTCTAACTCTTCAGCAGACCAGCTTTAAAAACTGGACTCCTTATTTTGTGGACATGTTTGGCCCAGGGCAAATGGTTTCCACGCTCCTTCCTGCAGTTTTTCATTCACCCGCGGCTCATTTTTTCCCCGCGTTCCCAACCAGACTGGTCTCACCCCCTCAAATCCTGCTCCCAGGGCCGTTTTTCAGCTACGAATCCCTAAGGAATTATCTTCAMCCCGAGCCGTGCAAGGAAGCTTTGCTGTTGGCCACACAGGCGGTTGGAATTGGGCCTCTATCAGAAAACACAGGTGAGTTCAAACTCTAATGACTAATAATACTGGGAGTGTTCAGATAGAGTTCAGCCAAACGGGTGCTTACGGCTTTAAGTCTCTGAGCATCAGTGTAAATGTTTACAAAAGACTGACTAACAGCTTGTAACTAACAATCAATTATCACGCAGTGTTAAAATGGGTCTAACGATTGCGGAGCTAATTATCCAATTTAGAGCCATTAGTTTCCTGTCACCCATTGGCGATTGTTTAATTGGTGCTTGTGCTGCCTTTCCAGATGAACAGAGGCCAGCGAAGCAGCGGCGTGCGCGAGCCAACTACAGCAGCTGGCAGCTGGAGGAGCTGGAGAAGGCGTTCGAAACCACCCACTACCCAGACGTCTTCATGAGGGAGGCCCTGGCCCTCAGACTGGATCTGATCGAGGCCAGAGTTCAGGTACGGGGAGGGGGCAGCGGGTTCCTCCTGGGTCCGTCGTCTTCATGCAGCTCAGTTTCCAGTTCAAGTCTAAATGAAGCTGTTCGGCTCAGTGTTCTTCTTTTCACCTCAACAAACTCACGATAAATACAAATATTGTTCATTCTAGACATTATCAATTTATTTTTTCAAAATTTGAAATAATACCAAGACTGTGTGTCGTCTTGGATGTTACACCAATATTTTACAAGRTCAGCTAACACAGTATTCCAGTAATCTTCAAATAAAAGGTCATATCTTTAATGTTTTCTTTATTTTACAAATCTATAGATAATTCAACCTAAAGTTACACATTTTAGTCTTAATTAAACTTTATTGAGCCATGCCAGTTATTGTATATTTAAACTGAATAATTTGTCTTCCGTCTTTATTGTGCTTATTTACTGACCTCCTGCTCTTATTTTTAAATAATTTTGTGCTGTTCATTTCTTTTCTTTTRTTTTTTCCTGACTATTTTTATAGTTAGCTTTTATGGACTTTTAATTTCTAATGTTGACTCACTGAGTCTTGTTTTATTGTTTTTTATTCTTAACTTTTAAGGATGACAATACATTTTTATAAT